AAGACAATAACTTATTTACAAAATTGCAACTGTTAGATGGTTTATATGAATTGTATATATTGAATTACATAACTGTGCGGTTTTATGACTTATTTGATAATTGAAACTGTGTTTCTTAATACTGTAAGATAATATTTTTCTGAGAATTGTCTTATAAATAGATTTTTCAATTCCAATAATCTATTATCTATTTGATGTTAAACAAATTCTATGAAAAAAGCTATTAAAAAATTCGTTCACATTTTTTATTACAATCGATTTAGAATAATTATAAAACAATTGTGTTGAATTGTAGTAGTTTCATTTTATTTACAATATTTCTACATTTACATAAATACAAATTACATCTCTACTCATAATATACATCAACAAGCGTTATTATTATAACAAAGTTATTATTACATATTTAAAAAATAACTTTGAAGGTTATGCGATGATTTCATCATTATTATGTTAATGTCCTTCTTGAGGCTTAGTAACATTTTTTGCCTTGTATGCTGGTAAAGAATTAGAATGCACATATATACTAGTTACCCTGCATTTGTACCGATACATAAAAAATAAATTATTAATTTTTATTTGTTTGTAGTAGTTCACGTGACGTATTCAGTGTCAACTTAGTGATAACTTATTCAACTTAACCTTGCACAAATTTTATGTATTTCACCCATGATAACATTTATTTAATATTTATTTTTTTAATTTATAAACAATGAAATTTAAAGCTAATATACAACTTATCAAAACAAGCGCCCCATATTGTTCAGGTTCTCTATTTAGTTTCTCAACCAACAACTGAGTTTTCATATTGTTCTGATATGTCCTACTTATGGATCTATTGTAATTATATATAACTGCTATACCTGCTGAATACTTTTGGTAAAATTTTTATGGTTTTTAACCGATGTCAAAAAATGTTTGTTTTTTTTTATTTTTCAAAGTATATGTTAATCTGTCCATACAAAATTATTGTTCAACGCAATATATTTTATAAAACAAGTGGATTGATATAAGAATAATTAACGTCAATAATAATAAAAATTAACGTCAATTAACGTCAATAATTATAAAAATATGTTTAAAGAATATGTAAATTAAAAATTCAATCTATTTAATATTCGGTCCTTCAATATAATTTAATATTTCATAAAGAAAGATTAAAAAAGAAAATATTGTTGTTGTTGTTTTTTCTTCATTACTGTTCGAACCCTTCTAGTTTCTTTCCGTCATAAGTCTTATTACATTTGACAAAAAAATCTACTTTAAAAATAAGAATTATAGAAAATACGAAGAACAATATAGTTCAGTTTTTCTTACTCGCTTTAGTGAGCTGGTGAGTAACATTTGCATAGCTTCTTTGTAAAATTGCACCCAAGAAAGGTGCTTTACATATAGTAAGTAAAAATATGCATAACAGATGTGTCTACAAAAAGAATAGCTTTGAAACAAAAATAGGCAACTTCAAAAATTAACATTCAATTCGTTGAACTTGTGTTTCCAAATAAAGCTGTAGTTTATAAGCTCGTTCTAATTTAAAGAAAAAAACATGGCAAGTGCTTTGGTTAGTGTCACTAATTAAATAAAACAAAAAAAAAACTGACAAAAATCCTGGAACTTGAGCATTGAAAGTTTGTGCAGCCTTGACAACTTGTGGATAAACACGATTAGTCGGATTCATTTCGCATCGATAGTAAATTACTATCTATACTATCTATACAGAAAAAATAAAAACAAAGATACTTATATACTTGGACACATAAATAGACCTTTCACATTATATTTGTGGATGAGCTTATTGTATAAATTAATATTTTCTAAAACGATTAAAATTACTGCAGTTATTTAATCAAATTTAAAATTACCATTTACTGCTTTCATTTATACCTTCTTGTCTCTAATCCAAAATCCATATATCTTCAAAGTGAGTTTTACTCTTGCATTTAAATTTCTCAAAAAGAACTATAGAGATGTATGTTTATCCTAAGGTTTCAACAACATTTACAAAATATTACATATTTATGTGGTTAAGGTATGTAACACAAACGATTTACTATAATCTCATTGCACTACTCCATTTAATTTTAAAAATACAGTTCCCAATCCGTAAAGATCACAACTATCATAAGTATATTCAAGTATAAGTATATAAGTAAGTATAAGTATATTAAAACAATAGAAAGTTTCTATTATTATGTACAAATAGAGCTTATTAATTAAAAAATAATTTTTTACTTGACAATTTCTTTAACTCTTATAGTGTTATTTTATAAGTATTCCTTCCTAAAAACGTACGACTGTATAAAGATGAAAGGCATACTATCAGTTACAGAGACGGGAAGGTAATCTCCAATGTAGTTTCATATTGTTAGAATACTAGCGTAATACGAGTATAGTAAGCAATATCATATCCAATGTTGATTTTAAACAAAATATGGAGTATTGACTTACATATTATGATATATATAATTATTACAAGTTCTTAATTATTCTATTTAAGTTAGGTAGTGCTCCGTTGAGACTTTAAGCTCCAATTATATCCAGGGAATAATGGAGAAATATATTATAAATCCTCAGTTAATGTTTATAATTGTATGTATATTTTATATTTTTTATAATTATAATGACAATGAAAGACGGAGAAACCAGAATATTATTAAATAAATAATAGTTTTAGCATCTGGAAGAAATATAGGGTCGAGATATAGAACTCACATATATATACTATATAATTAACATAATCGTTTTCTTAACCATGCACTAAAGGCAAAAGAAAGAAACCAAAAATAAAATAAGATTATTTTATTTAAATTAAAATTGAATAGAATTATTTTTTGGTGAATTTTTCACTCAGGAAATGCAAAAATTGTGTAGCTTCTAAATTAATAATTTGATAATAAAGCTTCTTAGATCATTTGTTTGCCATTTGTTTCTGAATAAATACTACTATACAATTAATCTATATACATAAAAGAAAGTCGTGTCAGTTAGACCACTTATAACTGAAGAACGGCTGAAACGATTTTAATTATCTTTGATTTGTTGGATTCGTTTCCGCTCCGAATAGCGGAATATATTATAAAATATTGGAAACATCCACTAATTTTAACATAAATAATAAATTTATAAATTTTTGTTTCAAACTGTTGACAGTTTGAGTGATACTGATTTTCTTTTTGTTTTTTGCGTGTCATCAATATATCAAATATTTCAAATTTCAAATATAATAAATAAATACTGTCATCGATATATGAAGATTTCTCCAAGCAATTGCTGACAATCGGTTATAGCCGTGTGCCTGTTGAAGAGTCGAGTGGATTTATTGCATTTCATTCATATTTTTGCAATTTCGTCTCATCAAAAGACGAACTCATCAATGAAGTATTTCCGAACATCATTGATAATCATAAAAATAACAAATGGTTGAGTGAGCGAGCAATTTTGGTGACTAAGAACAAAGATGTGGATGACTTAAATTTTGTAATTCAAAATCAAATCGTTGGTACTCTGCATACATTTGAATCTATTGACTGTGTAATAAACGAAGACGAAGCTACCAATTATCCAACTGAATTTTTGAACTCCTTGGATGAGCGTGGCTTACCACCACACAATTTACAACTAAGGTTGGTTCGGTAGTCATTATGCTTCGAAATCTAAACCAATCAAAACTATGCAATGAAAAGCGATTGGTTATAACAAAACTGATCAATGTGATTCACGCAACGATACTGAAAGGAAAATTCAAAATTGATGAAGTTCTCATTCCGAGGATTCCAATGAGCCCAACCGATATGCCCTTCAAGATTAAATGAATTCAATTTCCTTTTCGGCTTGCATTCGCCATGACGATAAATAAATCACAAGGCCAATCCTTGAGTGTTTGTATTCTGAATCTAGAAAATGCATATTTTTCTCATGGTCAATTGTACGTGGCATGTTCACCTGTAGGGAAACTATCTGCTTTGTTTGTTCCTGCGCCTGATAAACTGTTGAACATAATAAATTTTTGGTATTCATTTTATTACGTTAATAAATTTCTAAATTAAGTTTACCTAAAATTTAATATAACATTCACTGACTTTTACGCGGCACGAAGATCGCGAAGTCACCTAGTACTGAATAAAAACATTGACATCTATGATATATTTAAGAAGTATATTTTTTTAAATAAAAAGTTTTGATATATGTAGTCATATGATTTATGATTGTAGATAGAAATCGGAAGTTACTTATTTCTATAGCTAAAAAGATTTTAATTGAACTTTTAATCTAATATATATCTTAACATTATAAAGATAAATGAAATGATTACTTCATAAACAAATATCATCTCGAACATTTAATTTATGTGTTGTATATATTTTTTGATTTATATATAAATAATTATATATATATATATATATATATACATATGTGTGTGTGTGTGTGTGTGAATGTATGTATATATGTATATATTAACATTATGTATATTATATTATATTAACTGCTCTTATTTCCGTAGTCTTAAATCTTTGAAAATATAAAAATAAAAATAACTAATTTTTGTGTTAGTTTATTATTTAGTATATCAGTCACGATTTGCTGAGTATCTTTATCTTAATTAACCTTTTAATCTATTTTTATCAATCTCGATAAACTTTGTACGAGAGCAAACAAAGCAAAACACAAATGTTGCACAATTGTGTCAAGAAACGCCATTGAGCATTAATAAACGTTACTCATACGCCGTGTACTTCCTAAAATGCAGTTCCGCATGCTCTTAATATTCTTTTAGGAAGAAATCGAAATTAACATTGAAAAAGTAATATTCTTTGTGCAAAGTTCTCATTGAAATTCTAATTTTTGAAATTTCAAATGAAAATGAAATTGTTCTTGTTATTGTTATTGTCATTGCATTTAAATTTCTATGAATTGCTGAAATTGTAAAGAAAACGTTGAACTTCCCTGTTACTGTGAAAATATTGTGAAAATATTTTGATTTATTTAAATCTTTTTTCCAGAAAAATGCGATTAAAGTTTCTACTTGTTTTGGTTGTGCTGTTTTGTTGCCAGTTGTGGTTTGCGTCTTCCAATCGTACATTCACTGTAGATTGGGATAATGATCGCTTCCTCAAAGATGGTCAACCTTTTCGCTTTATTTCCGGTTCTTTTCATTATTTTCGAGCACATCCCGAAACGTGGCAAAGAAAATTACGTACGATGCGAGCAGCTGGCTTAAATGCGGTAACAACGTAAGTGCACTAAAGAGTTGACTATATTCTTTACAGACACACTACTAAGTATTTAATCAATTTCAGGTACGTCGAATGGTCATTACATAATCCAAAAGAAGGCGTTTATGTGTGGAATGGTATAGCAAATTTAGAAAAATTTATTAAATATGCAATTGATGAGGATCTACTAGTTATATTACGACCTGGTCCATACATATGTGCAGAACGTGACTTGGTTGGTATAAAAAAATATTTTAACATTTTTTAAACTATAAGTAATACTTTTAATTAGGGTGGCTTTCCCTATTGGCTTCTGACTAAATATCCGGGCATGCAATTACGTACAGCTGATATAAGTATGTTTTTCAAACAAAGTCATTCATGGGCTATATATTAATCACAAATAATATACTTAATTTTAAATGCAGATTATTTATTTGAAGTTCGCCTTTGGTACTCTGTACTTATGGCACGCATGGCACCATTTCTTTATGGTAATGGCGGCCCGATTATTATGGTACAAGTTGAAAATGAATATGGTTCCTATTATGCATGCGATAAAAAATACCGAACTTGGCTGCGTGATGAAACTTTGGCTCATGTACATAATAAAGCTGTACTCTTCACTAATGATGGTCCCTCTGTACTCTACTGTGGACATATTGAAGGGGTTTTAGCTACCATGGACTTTGGTGCTACTAGTAATCTTACCAATTTTTGGGATCGCTTACGTCGTATACAACCCAAAGGACCTTTAGTAAACGCAGAATACTATCCTGGTTGGCTGACGCATTGGTCAGAATCTATGGCGCGTGTGCCTACAAAAGCGATTACTAACACTTTCATGTAAGTAGAGATGTTAAAGAAAGGCAAGAAATTGAAACTTTGGAATAACCAAAACTTAACAGTTTAATGCATATATTTTAAAAGTTTCATTCCGAAATCTTCCCAGATCTTATCTTTACTATGTACCGATCTAAGTAAGATCATGTCGTTACTTTATATCTTACAAATTTCTACTTTGTTTCAATTTCATTTAAATAAAATTTATTTTATTTATAATTTCAGAGAAATGTTGAACTCCAATGCTAGCGTAAACCTTTACATGTTTTATGGGGGTACCAATTTTGGATTTACTGCTGGTTCTAATGATGGTGGTCCTGGTCGTTTTCAACCAGATATAACTTCCTACGACTATGACGCTCCTATGACAGAGGCTGGCGATCCGACACCAAAATATTTCAAAATACGTGAAATAATCGGACGTTATTTACCATTACCTAATATATCCGTTCCAGAACCACTGCCAAAGAAGAATTACGGTAGCATACGTCTAATGGCATGTTGTTCAATACTGTCTGAGAAAGGTAGACAAACACTTGGAACAGGCGTTGTTGTGTCAAATAAACCAAAAACTTTTGAAGCGCTTAGTCAATATTCAGGACTAGTACTCTATGAGACAGATTTGCCTCGATTTAAGCGTGATCCAAGCATATTACGTGCGCCTGGAGTACGTGATCGTGCTTATGTTTATATAGATAATGATTTAATTGGCATCTTATCACGGGAAACACCTATATTTGATTTACCCATCAGTGCTACTGCTGGTAGTCGTTTACAAATTTTGGTTGAAAATCAAGGTCGCATTAATTTTGGACAACTTAATGATTTTAAGGGAATAATTAGTGATGTCACCTTGGATAAAACAATTTTATCTAATTGGAATATGACAAAGTTCCCACTAGAATCATATGAAGATATCAGAAATTTCATAGAACTTGAATCACTACAGCAAATAGGTTTCCGAGAGCAAGATTATCGTGCTTTGCTACGCTGCGGACCGACCATATTTTATGGTACGATAGAAATTGATGATGATCCATGCGATACCTATTTAGACACAACCGATTGGGGTAAAGGTATAGTTTTTATAAATGGAGAAAATATTGGTAGATATTGGCCTGTTGTTGGACCACAAATTACACTGTATGTACCAAAAGAGGTACTTAAACGTGGAGCAAATCAGATTGTGCTTATCGAGTATCAGAAAGCTGCAGTATCAGGAGAAATAACATTTACCGATACGCCAAATTTGGATGGCTTAAAATAATGGAAGCAACTGAAATATTCTAATAATGTTAAGTAATACATATGCACTAAATATGTAAATACTTATTTTTAACTTATGGTGGATGGTAATATTCTTTATATTACTGTGCAACTGATTTTTCGGTTAGAATGGTATTAATTTGAACTGCAGAACTTTATGGACATGAATCCTTTTAACGAATTTTTTTATTAAGACTTAAAACAAAAGTACTTTAATGTACCGCTAGCAATTTAGATTTAAGTGTTTTTTATTTCATCTTCATTATGAAAAATTAATAAATATTATAACTAAATAAATTATTTTTTTAATTAAAAAGTTGTCTAAGGAACTATGAAAACTCGTACAAAATATATAAATATCTGGGCAGACTTTATTATATTCTTTAATTTCTAAATTTAGTACGAAATAAGTAAATTTAAATTGATTAAGAGAAAGTTAGTTGTTCTTGAATTGGGTGATATAATTTTTGGGAAGTTTTAATCTGCACTACAGATTTTTAAAATTTTCACTATAAACATTTTACCGACGCGAATTTTTGTATAGATAAAACACTTAATGGCTAAATGAAAAATTAACTATTTAAGAATGAAGAATGATTATTTCCATTATGCGAATATAAAAGATTAACAAAGCATCTAATTTTTATTACAAATTCTTCACAGTATTTCCTCTTTTTTAATTTTCTTTAAATGGTTCCTGCTCATATTGTGTTCTTTATTTTTCTCTATTAGTATATTTTTCAGATAAAAGGATATTACTTATATATAGATATAAACATTTAAAAATACATTTATGTATTTATTTGAACAGTAAGTGATTTTTAAACTTATGTGATAGATTATGATTAAGATACTCAATTCTGCAACAATGACATCTAAGCCGAATGAACGAATATTTGTGATTAAGAAATAAGATATTAACAAGTATATATGCTCTTACTATTAGTATACACTGGTAATTCTCTAAACTTGTGTCATTTATTATATAAAAGATGTTATATGTGAGAAAATTTGCCATGTTACACGAAGAAATATTACAGACAAGGCACTACGAGACGCTACAGACAAAAAATTAGCTGGAAAAGAACCGTGTATAATAAATCCGAGAAAATATTCAACAAGCAATGACCTTTCCCAAAAAAAGTAGAGATAAATAGAGATCCTATTTTAAGATTCTATATTCCTAATGGAATACATTTAAAATCTTGTTGGTCATTTTAGTAATATTTTCTTCAATAATATTAATGTATAAAACAAAAATACAAAAAAATTAAATAACTAATAAATAATTTAACAAAAGAACATTTTGTTCAAATATATGGCTTTTTGGTTTTTCCAAAATATTCTTTAGATTATTATATTCATACATATAATATTCAATTTTATATTATTGAAGTTATTATTTTAAAATAACGACATATTATTAGTGAAAAGATAAAATGTTGAGTTTACATATTAATTGCATATATATGTACGAATATATATTGATTAAGTTAATCGATTACAATAAAAATATTTAAGATTATTGATATTTTTAAGGCAACTAAATAATTATACCTCTGTGTTATTAAAAACAAATAATTGGTTTCTTCGCTAATAATAATTATTTTTTAACAAAAATTAATAAATAACTTTATAAGAATAATTTGTAAGGCTAGAATTTTCACCTTTTTGAAATAAGTAATTAATTTGAAACTGAAGTTTACAAATAAATTAGTTTTCAAATGTATTGTTACCAGAGGAAAACAGTTTTTTGTAGAGAAATATATTATGTATAAATATGTATGAAACATGATATAAATATATTTATATTAAACATTTTATTTTTTTTGAATTACTGTTAATAAAGTCATACACTTTTTACGTAAAAATATCATTTTTGTGTGATATTTAAAATATGCACCAAACCTTTAAAAAACCAAAAACAAATTTTATTTACAAGAAATATTTTTAAAAGAACCAATAAAATGAAATAAAAATTTGCATTTTTGAACACTTTCATAATTTACGAATGTGATCTTAAAATTAATAATATAATAATATGTTTCAAGTAATCATTAATGCAAAAATATATTTAATCTGTGAATTGCTTAATATTGATTGTTTTATATATGAATTTTCTAAAACAATGTTGATTAAGCGTTTGCTTAAAAATTTTTATATATTTTAAATTTAAATACACATAATTACCAACTTCATAATTTACTTCATAATTTATTTTTTTATGAATACCTATTACTTTATTTTAAAAATATAATAATTTATTGATTTCAAACTTTAAACAAATATCCAATTAATTTATTCATTTTAAATATATAAAAGAGAAGTACGTTTTATATATTTTAAAATTATATTATTATTTTATTAAATTGTTATTACGATCAATATTCAATTAGTTATTATATTTGTTACTGGGCTTAGAATGTTCTTTTAAATAAAATAAAAAATTACACTTTTCAAACTGTGTTAAATATTTAGTTCTATTTTAATTTTTAAACAAAATTATTTATATTACAGATATTTCGGTCTACTTCATTGTACAATAATAATAAAATAATAATTAATAAAATTAAAATATAACTAAAAAATATTAAAATATAAAATATAACTATAACTAAATAAATATAAAAACTACTTATTATTTTAAAAAGGTTTTAAATTAAAATTATTTAATATCACCTACCTGTTAATTACTAAGTATTTTCAAATTTTAATTATATTTTTAATTTAATATATTTTGATAAAATTTCAAGCAGTGAAAATTCTATTTTTTTCTACAAAACAAATTTTTGTTTTAACAAAAATGTTAATTTTTCGTTAATTATTATCAGCTTTTCAGGAATTCACTTTGAAAGCAATAGTAACCGTTATTTTGAAAGTTCAATTTCCTACTGCGCACTCTAACACTCCGCACAAGTCAAATAGTGAGTTACAACTGGTGGCAGATCACGCGGAACAGGATGTTAAATAACTGCGGAAAAGTTAAAAAAAAAAAAATGCTTCAGTGGAAGTGGGGGTTGGTTGTATGCTGATACAGAATAATAAAATCCCTACGAGAAGTTGGCGCGCAAGTTTGTGTATTAGCGAATATGCGTTCGTGTAAAAATTATCATTCGTTGTAAGGCGAACCTGCAACACAACAACAACTGCAACCACACAAACAACTTGTTCGAAAGTATGCAACAGAATGCGTGCACACAAACTACTCGCAACAATTGTGCAGCAGCGCCCACAACAGGCTCCTTTCACCAGAGCAATGGTGGACTTCGTATCATAGCTGAATGAGTTAAATTGGCTAGCATTGAATTGAGTTGACGGTTTCTGCTTATCTATGAATGAAATGCTTGGGTCATGCGTAGTCTTTGTTTTAATTTTTTTCTTTTGTTCAACACAAACACACATGCAAGTACGCATACATTTTAGGTTTTGTTCGAGTGTGCATATTCGTGTGTGTTTTCATAGGTACTCTATGTATATTTTGTTGCTATTTGATGCTGCCTATCGTTCTTTTGTGTCCGCTCATAGAAGACAATTGAACACAGTAACAATTCAACGAGGGACAGACTTTTGTAGGCCCTTCTGCGATGCATAATAAAAATATTGTTTGCATATGTGGAAAATTCAATTTGATTGTAACGTATTTGATCAAAGTGAAATACATTTTTTCACATTTTCAATTTAATATATACATATGTATATATATATAAACATATGTAACAAGATACAATATATTGTATTTAAAGCACGTGTATTCCTATAATATTATTTACACTCAATTATAGAGGTTAAAATGAATTTAATTTTAAATAGTTAAGTAGAAAAAGAATCCGTAAGCCTAGAGATTTTTTAAGTTTAAAAATAAAATTAAATAGAAATCTTAATTAAAAATATTTTCCATTCAAAAGTATATCCGTGCTAGAGATTGAGGAAATAAAAATGGGAATTCTATTAAAATGAAATGTGAGGTTAAAATAATTTACGATGAGTTACTTTTTTTTAAAGGACTAGTTCTAGTGATAAAGGAGTTAAACCTATTGGCATAAATTTTTTTTAATAGTTGACTCTAGATTATGAAACTTCAACCCAATAAAAATAAAGTTGAGTCAATGGCTGAGATCACATTTCGGCAATTAAGAAATGAAATTTATTTAATCCAGTTATCAGTACGTAAATTATTAAAATCAGAAAAAATGTCGGGTATTCGAAAAATGATTGAGACTTGTTTAGAATGTTGTAAGGATCTGGTTACTGCAGCCACCATTAAACACCTCCTCCATAGGTTAACTTCAATCAACTTTGACAAATTAAAGAGTCAGACTTCGAAGAAGTTTAGCAATAGGTATATACTATTTACATAATTCTGGGTAATCAGGGACCGAAAATAACAGTTATTTTAAAATTTTTTATGAAAAAAAGCAGCAACAAAAAGTTGTCTAAACTCTTATTTAAGTAAATAGTTATCATTCTAACAACTTTTATCCTTAATATTATGCATGCTTTTTATATTTGTGCTTTTTAAAATAAAACTCAAAAAATAATAATTATTATATGCCTTTTATTTTTTTCGCGCAGCAATAACTCTTAAAATTTGCTTCTTATTTTAAAACGCACAAATAACTGGTATACTTGCGTTATATAATATAAAAAGCAAGAGTATCGCGCAAATTCTGCGCGATATTTTTAAAATGAAAATATAAAATGCAATTTTCATACAAGGTAGTTGTTTTTGCAATTCCATAGAAAATGTTTGAAAAGGTTGGTGTAGGTAAAGATTTAGTTCAGTTTTTTGTTTTTGTATTTTACATACAAATTTGTTCTCCTACAAAATACGAATGTAAATACAAAATATAAATGCAAAATACAAAAACAAAAAAACTGAACTAAATCTTTACCTGCACCAACCTTTTCAAACATTTTCTATGGAATTGCAAAAACTACCTTGTATGAAAATTGCATTTTATATTTTCATTTTAAAAATATCGCGCAGAATTTGCGCGATACTCTTGCTTTTTATATTATATAACGCAAGTATACCAGTTATTTGTGCGTTTTAAAATAAGAAGCAAATTTTAAGAGTTATTGCTGCGCGAAAAAAATAAAAGGCATATAATAATTATTATTTTTTGAGTTTTATTTTAAAATGCATATGATAACAGTTATAAGATGATTTTTATTTTTTTTATGATAACTGTTACGGTCCCTGTGGGTAATAAATATTTGTGTTATTAAATTGATTTTTA